CCCTCACCAAGAAAACAGAATAAAGTCAATCAAGAGTGAATGTGATGCAGGACTTCAAAATAAGAAATCAATAATGGCTACCATAATGTCTCTTGTTGTTTTCGAAGTAGCTGCCTGTACCATCAAACATAATAAAATCTAACAAAACAAAATGGAATAAAATAAATCAAAACAAAACAATGAAAGTGATATAAGGCTTCAAACCAAAATAATAGGAAATCAACAATGACTACTGTAAGATTTTGCTGTCTTTGAAATAGCTGCTTATACCATCTGATATAAAAAAATCAAACAAAAGAAAACAGAATAAAACCAAACAAACTGTACAATGAAAATGAAACAAGGCTTCAAAACAAGGTTATAGAAAATTAACAATGGCTACTTCCTTCCCTTTTTAGATGCTTCCTTCCTTTTCACTTTTACAATTTTTTAGCGCATTTTGGATCTCGCTAATTCCTGCAGTTTCTTATACTAGGGAGAAAACTTGATATTCACTTGCATAAGTCTGAACCATTTTCACCTTGAGCATGATTGCAAGTTGCATCCATTTACCTACAGGAGCCTTGTGACTATCCTTCTTTATAACTGAGTAGCTTTCCATTGTATACAAATGCCATATCTCCCTAGAGGATGATTGTCGTCTTGATTTGCTCATGATGTTTCACTGATAATTCATTGCTGGACCTCCAAAAAGGGAACTTATGGGAAGTTTCTAGGCTTTTCTCAAAATAAACTGCCTCTATGATTTGCACAGGCACAAGTAACACATTCTGGAATTTTACCACAATGACACTGTAGTGACATGTGTCATGTCCTAACACTGGCCTCCAAGTGCTAAGAGGGTCTTGGTTGGACTTGGTGCGTGGAGATAAGTGGAGATGACGCTTTTCTGTGAAAGAAAAGACCTGTTAAACCAGGCAAATAAGCCAGGAATAATGGTTGCAGGTTTGGCAGTTGGTCTGTCTAGAATGATTAGGTTATTTTTATCATCCACGATGGTCAGAGTTTGGCATCTTGTATATGTCAGTATTTAGAAAAATAGTATTTAGAAAAAAATGTTATGCCAAAGGGTTTAAGTGTTTAGTATCCACCAGGTCTTATAAAATAGAGAGCAAAAAATTCATTTAAATGTACGTTCTTGATAAGATCAGCCTAAGTCACTGAAAAGGGATTCAACACAAATTGGCTTCTGAATATTTCTAATGACAGAATGAAAGGTATTTGGGTATGGGGAAGGAGGGAATTTCTTTCTTTCTTTCTTTCTTTCTTTCTTTCTTTCTTTCTTTTTTTTTTTAGATTTTGATTTAAGGAATACAGATTTGTCAAGGAAATTTTTTTCATGTCCAATAAGTAGTTTATAAAACATGAAAAAGTCCATCATATGATACTGTAGCAGGAATTATGGGTAAGCATGGTCACTGATGTGATTTTATCTCTGCTAGACACAAACAGCTGGTTGGACACAAAACAATGTAGATTCTAAGCATTCTGTGAACTGGGACTGTGATCACCTCTCCACCTACCACAGTGGCTTGGCTTTAAAAGGTGACCGTTTGTTTGGGTTCAATTGTTATCTATTTATAAGTAGTTTAAAACATAACTGAGAAGTCAACTCCTATAAATTCAATATCCTGATAAGAAAACAAAATGAAAAATTGGCTCATGGTGCAGTACTTTTCCATGCACCACTAAAAGAGGGTCATAAACATTGACCTACAATCAGCCATGGAGAGAGGGTCAGGATTGAAATGTGGAGGAGAGATAAACATTTACCAAAAGGATGAGCTTGTGAAGATGAGTGAGATCTATACAGGCAAAGAAAGTGAATCAGAATTTCAAATGAAGGGACTTGCGTGAATGAAGCCAGCACAAAAAGATGAGGACACAGTACAGAATGACTTGGCTGGAGGAAACTGTGTGTATGGGAATGTAAGGGGAGACTCAGTGTCGCTAGGATTGCAGGGCATCCTGGCTGTTTGCCTGTGGATTCAAGGCGCATAGATATAGGCAACTGGCAGTCCTTGTTCAAGTGCAGGATGGAGACTTAAAATAATCCTAGAAGGCCAAGTGAGGTGATGCATCCCTGCAAGCCCAGCACTCTGGGAGGTTGAGGCAGGATTGCAAGTTTGAGCCTACCTTGGGCAGTATTGCAACTTGGCAAGATTCTGTCTCAAAAAATTAAGTGGAAGAATAGTATAGCTCAGTATGAAAGTCCAAGGTTAAATCTGTAATGTACCCGCGTGCGCGCGCACACACGCGCACACACACACACACACACACACACACAGAATCTTAAAGAGCCGGGGCTGTAGCTCAGTGGTAAAATGCTTGCCTAAAATGCATGAGGCCCTGGGTTTGATCTCCAGCAAGGATAAAAAGTGTCTTAGGAAGGCAAATACTTTAGATTAAGTACCTAAGATAAATGACTAAAAAAACTCCAGGTGGATGATTTTAGGAGATAATAGAAAAATCAGCCTCAGGATGGTGGCAGTGGGATAGTATTCTAAAGACACAAGAAAGAAAGAATTGGTAGAATTTAGAACTAACTAGAAGACTAAGGGTCACCAATGTCCCATTCTTTCTACCAATAACCTGAGGACCTAGAATTTCTTAAAGTCAAAATAAGTGTAAATTTAGTCTACCAAATATTATTTTTTAGTGTAAGAAAGTTAGCAGCCTTTTATTAAGTAATGTGCAAAGACTAATTACCCTCACTTTCTGTTTTGTTGCTTTGGGTTGCATTTCTCATTAACAAGAAAAAAGTTCTCCCAAGATACCTCCAGACAGACTTTGAAGAAGAATAGAATGACGTAAGATAGTTAATCTCACGTGCCTCCAATTGGTCTTCTGAAAAATAGGATTGCAACACACAGTAGCTCACAGGACTGCTGTGAGGATTCAAAATTTAGTTTTGCAATTCTAGGGCCTACATCCTTGTTATTTTTACAACGCTGGAATTTGGAAGAATGTAAGAAATGGCCCATTAAATTTGATATTCATATTAAGGAAGATTAAGGGATAAGGTTGGCTTGCAAGGTGGGAGCAGAGCCACCAAAGGAAAAAGGAAAACACGGCACAGCACAGTATGATATGAAATGGGGACCACTCTGTGGCTTTTCGTATCTGAAATGTGTCTTTTTTGTTTGTTTGTTGGTTGATTTATTCCACAAGTACCCCTCGGACTTGGGGAAGAAAAGAGAGATTGGGATGCTTTGTGTTTTGTTTACATTACAGGAAAAAGAGAATGGCAGGTTATTTATCCACAGCCCTGGAAATTGTGGGAAAAGATTCCTCATTCTCCCTTATTCCTTTCCAGAACAAAAGAGACTTGGGTGGTTACTTCATAGGATTTCAATGAAGGATTTTCAATGAAGCTTGAAACTCTTCATCTTACAGAGTCTGCATTAGGCTCCACTAGGGTAAGATGGTACCTTTGGGATTTCCGAGTTTTACTTGTCTTTCTGCTGAGAGAGAGAGAGAGAGAGAGAGAGAGAGAGAGAGAGAGAGAGAGAGAGAGACAGACAGAGAGACAGAGAGAGAGAGACAGAGAGAGAGACAGAGAGAGAGACAGAGACAGAGAGAGACAGAGAGAGACAGAGAGACAGAGAGATTAGTTCTCAGGCGTGCCTGCCAGCCTGAGGCAGACTGACATTACAGTCATTCTGTATCCTACTTCGTGTTTGGTAAATAACTTTGCACCAACTTCTCAAGCTCCACTTCTCAGTGGAGGAAAGATGCTCCAAAGACGCCGGGTCACGTAGCAGTCAATGTACACCGTCCAGGACGCCACCGCGTAATCAGCCGAGCAGCCCGAATGATGGCCTGAGGCTTTGCTTCCTTGATGACTAAGCTGACCGGGTTCGCAGGCTGCAGGGTTTCTTCTTTGTCCTTGCACACTTCATGCCTGACAAGATGCTCAAACAGAACGGGCAACCGCTAGGAGGTACCAGAGCTGTGTGTTTACATCGGGCGAGCAGAAATGGCTAACGGCGGCGGCCCCCTACGCTAGGCGGGTCCAGGCGGGTGGCGCTTTTCCAAGGTCGGGGTTGGGACCGTCTGGTGGATGCTGCTAAGACTTCTGAGAAGAGGCAGCCGGGTTAAGGTGGAGCGGGGGAGCGCGCCTCGGGGCCTTTAACGCGTGCGTTGTCTGCGCGCTCCGGACACCGGCTGCTGCAGCCAGCGCCTTTCAGGCTGGGCGGAGGCGGGGGACCCCGGGTGTGCACGCAGCGCCCCGTGCGCGCGCTCGCCCGCGCCCGAAGCCTCGTGTGTGTGTGTGTGTGTGTGTGTGTGTGTGTGTGTGTGTGTGTGTGCGTGTATACGCGAGCGCACGCGCGCGGACGGGTGTCGCCTAGAGCTACGGTTCTGGGACCGGCTCAGGGGGTTAGGGGCCCAGGAAGGAATAAATCTCTGCCCACTTCCTCGCGACTCGCTGGGGGTTAATAATCACCAAGCAGTTGGAGAAAGACAGGAGTGACAGCAGCCGGGGCGCACCGGCTGGGGGGTGCGGGTCAAAGGGTCGGGATCTCCATCCCGCCGCCCTCCACCCCCCTCTCTGCAGCACTTGGGGGGGTGTTATTTTATTTACTTATTTATTTATTATTTATTGTATTGTATTGCATTGCATTGTTTGCCTCTCTCCCCAGAGATCAAGGGCAGGAGAGAGGCGAGCGCCGCGGATCTGCGCGGGGCGAAGGAGGCAATTTCGCGGTGGGGGAGGGCGGGGAGACCTTGATTTCCACCAATCCCGGGGCGTTTGTCTGCGGAGTCCTGGGCGCAGCGGAAGGCTGCGGCGCGCCGCGGAATTCACTGATGAGAGCGAGTTCTTTTCTTCCCCGGGAGGGGCGGGGAGGGAGGGTCCCGGTGGGCGAGGCGGAGGAGCCGGGAGCAGGTTAGCGGTCCCGGGCCGCCGTGGAAATTTCCAAGGACCTGGCGCGGCGCGGAGAGCGCGTCGGGGCGGGTGGGGGGTGTCTGGGGCGCAGCCGCGCGGGAGGCGGGGAGAGGCGGCGAAGGGCGAGCGAGCATCGCTCCGGAGGGGACGCGGCGGGCCAGAAGTCTGGGAGGGAGCCGCACCGTTCCCCGGACCCTCCCCCGCGGCGACCGTGATGCTGCAGATCTGGCGGGAGCTCCGGGCCGCCGCCGCTGTGCTCTCTGCTCCGGAGACCCCCGGCGCCCTCCTTCTTCGGGGAAAACGACCACGGCTATAGCTCGTGACTTGCCTGCCGGTTGCTTCCCGTAGAAAGGAATCCTTGAAAAAGTTGCCTTTTCCAAAATCCTTGTGCTGACCTTTGGGGCCGTGCGGGCCGAAGCCGCGGTGCGTGCGTGTGCAAGCCAGAAAGACACAAAAAGGTGTGTGTGTGTGCATGGGGCCCCGGCCGTGCGGGGACCCTCGGCAGCAGCTTCGCCCCGCGGAGTCCTGAGGCTTCGGCCCCCGTCCCCGTCCCCGGGACGCTGGGGCTGCGATGAGCCCCTGTGGGCGCGCCCGGCGACAGACGTCCAGAGGGGCCATGGCCGTCCTGGGGTGGAAGTTCCCGCGCACCCGGCTGCCCGTGGGGGCCAGCGCCCTCTGCGTGGTGGTCCTCTGTTGGCTCTACGTCTTCCCTGTCTACCGGCTGCCGGACGAGAAGGAGATCGTACAGGGAGTGCTGCAGCAGGGCACGGCGTGGAGAAGGAACCGGACGGCGGCCCGGCTCTTCAGGTACGCGCGCCCTGGCTGTCCCTCTCCTCCGACGTCCTTTGCCCTCCGCGCGGGGGACTGGGTCGCAGCGAGGACGGCCTGGCTGATTCCGCGCCTGCACCCTGGCTTGGTTTTTTTTTTTTTTTTTTTATTCTACTGCCCTTGGTGACATCCCCAATCTGGAGACTGTGGTCAGGGACCCTTCCCCACCGAGCCTTTACTCCAAGAGATGTGCAGGTACCTGCTAGGCGCAGGTAAAGACAGCTTGTTTCTTCCCAAGCTTGAGTTGCATTGAACAATTTGCGAATAATCAAGCGTGGTCAGGAGGACCCAGCTAACCTAACTTAGTCCTAGTAGCTAATGAGAATTTATTTCGTGGGCTCTGCAGACTGAAGCTAAAGAGAACTAGAAGCATGCAAGAGGTGTCTTCCCCTAGGTGAGGCGAGCAGTTGGCGACATAAAACATCAAAGAGGGTCTGATGGGCAAGCCTTGGGCAGTGAGGACGTGGACAGCCAGCCAGGTTCCCGCTGCTTGGCGCACTGTGTCCAAAGCCAGAACGGTGCGATTGATTTTTATGTTGAAATCTCAACAACTTTCTGATAATACGTATCTTTTTTCCCCCTCCTATCGACCACCAACTCTTTGGAAGGGTGAGTAAGTTACTCGCCCAAGGTCATTTATCTTTGGAGTGTGGATCCTGGAATTTGCACCATTTAAAAGCTCTCGGCTCCTTTTGTTGGCTTAAACTTGTGGATGCTTCTGGAAGGTGGGAGATGTATGTTAGGGAGAAACTCAAAATCAGAGAAGAAACAACAACAAAACCTGCATAGGAAATCAGAACTCTGAGCTTCACTTGGAGGCTGCAGTTTCCCTTGTCTAGGGGAAGAAAAGAAGTTCCTGGAGCCAGCGGTTGGTGGGGTGGAGGGAGATTAGAGCTGCTTCCTCTTCTTCTGTTTTCCCGGAACCATGGGGAGGCACCAGGACTGCCGCGACAGGGCGTCCCTTTCACCTTCAGTCCCCCGGGGCTCAAGATGCTACGGCTTCTTTGTGATGATAGGGTGGGGGGGGGGGTAGGGGGAGGTTTTCCTCTGCTCTGTAGAGGATCCAATGTGTGGGCCGGAGAGAGACAGCATAAACGTTTACACTGCTTTCCTTACCAATGTTAACAAGCATCCGTAGGTTTTAAAAACTTTTGGATATATGTTTCCCCTCCCCTCCCTAGGCCTACTGTTGGAAGGAAGGTCACAGACGTGATATAGTCAGTTGTCCCAGAGGAAGGCAGTAGAATATTCCTTAAAACTGGGAAGGGGAAGGGGAGATTTTCTCTCTTTTTTTCTTTTTAATATCTCTACTGTCATTAACTTTAAAAATTACCCCAGTCCCCTAACAACACATAAAGAGGAATTGTCTCTCTGATTCATGGCACTGAGTGCTGGACTTAAAAAAGAAGGCAAAAGGCATAGCACCCAGTTTTCTGTTCCTAAGGACAGAAAACACTTTTATTTCAAGTAATACACAGAAATCACTTAAGAACTTCTCATTCGTTTGCAATGAAAGAGTCCCTTTTTTGTGTATGGGGAAATAATGAAGCTCTGTTACAGAATAGATGTGTTTTTAGAGGACACAATCAAGTGGAAAATGCTTCATCTTCTGATCAACACAGACGGATTGTTGCTGGGTGCTCTTTTCTCTCCACAGCCTGGGGTAATCTTCAGTGTGTTTAGCTCAGTCTGTGCCGAGCGTCTATGTGCGGAGAATGACTTATTGAAATCTATGCACTATACAGAGTACCTGAACACACCCCTTAAAGTCCTTGTCTATAAAACTATGTAAAAGGCACCATAGCTTATCCAATAAAGCGTGAGCTTCAGATTAGAAGACTCACCTTGCACATTGCCTGTGCCAGAAACAGATAAAAGGCATGATACCTCTATCTCTTTGAGTCTTTATAACCTTTTAACTTTATAACAAAAGGATGATAGCATCTCCCTTGTAGAGTTGTTATGAGGTTTAAATAATAGTAGTGAAAAATAATAGACAACTGATAGCAAATGTCTGGTACACTGCACCAAAATGGTTATTTATAATTTTTATGGTTACAACTTTCTGTATGTGTTACAACTTACGTCAGGACACTGGGCCAGTACATAAGAATTTGGAATGTTTCACCTGACAGACTTACAGAAGGAAAGTTATTTGTTCATGTTCACCTCTCCATTCTCATTGCTTAAGCTAATAACTAGAGACAGGAGTTTTGAAAAATCAAGCTTTCATGTTTGCTAAGGCAAAACAATATTTTTATTACTTGGCACATTTAGTGAAATTCATTGTTTTTTTTAAACACCTGGGTTATTAGCATATGAGTACAAGTATATGTTTGTTAAGCATTAGGTCAGCCTATAGCCTGTGTTGTGTTAAGGAGTCACAGTATTGGCAAGCAGGTATCTGTGTTTCTCTAGTCTGAAACATCTGGTCCAGACAAACATCTGTACACTTGTATACAATGTGTATTTCTGTATATATAGAGAGATGCAGGTTTATTTATATATAATGGAATGTTGTCATCTGCACAACACACATCCATACATATTTATATACACACACACACACACACACACACACACACACACACATATAGGCATATACATGAGCAGTATTTAGTGAGTGACGACTGTTACTACAGATGTGTAATCCCAAGAGGATAAGCGTATATAGCATGGAGAATTATCTCCTCTAAGAGAGCTTACTTCTTGCTAAGGAATGACAGATTAAAAACCAAAAAGAAAACAGATAATGGCTATTTGTTGTAGTTTTTAATGTCATAAAGACAAAAGAGAGTGTTCTATTATGTTTCAAGCTCCAGTTTTTCTTATTTTATTTTTTATAGTGCTGGGGATTGGACCCATGCATAGCACACACTCTGGCCACTGAGCTATACTCTCAGATCCTTTAGATATTATTTTGCCATTTGTGGCTTTATTTACTTTTGTGATTTTCTTCTTTGAGTTCAAAACCGTAGAAGTCCACAGGAATACTTCTCAGATGGGAGGCTTACACAAACTGCGGAGGAGAGGGCCACAAGACAGTGACACAGCTGCAGAGTTTGAACTAAATAGGAAGTTTCTCTGACAATCAGATGTGATGGAAAGATAAAGAAATCAGTTGATCCTAGCACAGACACTTTCTTAGGTTTTGTTGCTTTGGTTTGAGTAGGCAGGTAGTATGAAAAATGCTAAATGAAAGCAGCATTGGATTTTCACCCATTTGTTCCTCCAAAGTAAAAGTAAACCTCAGCTTTGAATGTATGTATGAGGCCATATATATATATATATATATATATAATTGAGTGTTACTATCTGCCTGGTATGATAAGTACTTTATATGTATGCCACATTTAATCCTCATAGGAACTTTGCATATTAGTCATGCTTATAAAAATGAACATGTCTTCATCCCTATCATCAAAGGACTTACCATAATTGCATGGGAGGGACAGAATTTTTAGATGTCTGTGTATTTGCTTTGTGATGGAGAAAGACAGCGTGGCAGTGTGACAGTTTAGGGAGCTGTCTGAATGTGGTTGGATTTATGGTTGTATCCCTCTAGTTGTGCCATCATTGGTGAGTTCAACTCTCCTCGCTTCAACTTTCCCATTTGTAAAGTGAGAGTTCTAGTAGCGCAGCATCACGTGTGTTTGTAGTGCAAAATCCATGAGACATACAGAAAGCACCTAGAATGATACTGGCCACGTCTCTGTTTAATTCAGGACCATTGTAGTACCAAAAAAATAGGCCAAGTCCTGGGGAAGTTCACAGAACATGGTATTAATTCTACGGAAGGGAAGAAATAAGACTTTAGAATGGAGATAGTGTTTGCCATAAGCCAGGCTAAGCAGGTAAGAGGAAGCCTTCTACATTATTGGTGGGACTGAGGACAAGTATAACCACTATGGAAATCACTATAGAGATGCCTTAAAAAATTAAAAATAGAAATTGCATCCAACCAGCCATCTCCCTATCTTCCCAAAATTCCCAAAAGAGTTAAAGTATGTTATTACAGTGATACATGCATACCTGAGTTTACAGCAACACAGTTCATGATAGCTAACTCTTGAAAATGGGCTATATGTCTACCAACAAATGAATGGTTAAAGAAAAATGTGATGTTCATACAGAAGATAGTGCTCATCTGCCATAAAGATAAACGTGAGTCATATATAGGATGTTGGATGCTCTTTGAGACCACAGTGTTAAGTGAAATAACTCAGAAACACAAGCTTAAATATTGCATAATCTCTCTTGTATAAGGAACCAAAAATATAAAGAACAAAATGAAAGATACATAATAGGAAATAAGGTAATAGATCTTTCACAAATGGGAAAGAGACCAAGAAATGAAGGGAAAGAGGAGGTCAGGGAGGAAAAGGGGATGAAAAAAAGAAGTAAGATGTGTTACATAAGCACCCCAACTCCCAAAGAGGAATGTAATCATTTTACACTGCAAAAATGTGTTAGTAAAAATTAAAGGTTGAGAAAAGAGTTAGAGTCATAATAAGAGGTAAGGATAGCAGGATGTTTCATGCAGTGAAGGCAGAGGGGTTTGGCAGTGCCTGCCATGTTTTAGGGATGGAAAGTTACCAAGTGGCCCGCAGAGACCTCGCAGAAAGGTAGGCTGGGAGGGAGGAGGAAGCCAGTCCCAATTTTTGAGTGTGTTCGAGGCAGGACTCCAGAGTAACGGACAAACACCAGCTGTCACAGGGCACAGCTCCCTGCAGGGGAGGTACAGTGCTGTTAGCAGTGGAGCTGGGAATGGAGAACCCAGGATAAGGCAGTGAAGTGGTTGTTTTGGAGATATTGTTGACTTACTAATTAGTCAGGATGACTCTCAGCAGTCACGTGCCTTTTGTTTTCCAAATTCTGAAGTCATGTGGACAATTCTGGCTTTATGTGTCTTCTTCTTTTCCTTACCTTTGAATGCATGGATCTTTAAAGTTTTAGACACTCCTAGTTGCCCTGGGGCA